GGACTCGATCCCGGGACTCCAGGATCATGACCTGAGCCGAAGGCAGTCGCTCAACCAACTGAGCCACCCAGGCGCCCTCCCAACCTGTATATTGATGCTTTATTAACACTTCATTCAAAGGCTCGCCCTCATGAAGAATGAAATCAGGATCCCTCATTAGTACCCCTTCAGCCCCTGCCCACTACCCTCACAGTTGTGACTGTCCCAAGGCCTGGCCCTCAGCAAATCAGCAACTCAAAATCAAGGAGTAGGGGCCCCTGGATGGCTGTCAGTTAAAAGTCTCACTCTTGATTTCAACTCAGGTCATGATCTCAGGTTCATGAGATCAAGCCCTAAGTCCTGGCTCCAAGCTCGACAGCAAGTCTGCTTTCTCTCCCTCTGCCCGTCCCCAACCCCCAACCCCCAATGCATGTGCACACTCTCTCTCAAATAGTAAATAAATCTTAAAAAAAAAAAAGAAAAGAAAGGAAAAATCAAGGACTAATTGTGAACCAGAAATGTTTATTGCAGAAATTTGGTCACAATTCCCACTTGGTGGTCCCCATTGAGGCTGGACTGGTGAACCAGGAAAGGGTGGAAGGAGTAGGGGCCCGGGTCCTCAGAGCTGTGAGAGGATGTTGGGGGCCAGGCTGCAGGTGAGGCCTGTACCATCTGGCTCCACATTCAAGGATTTCACTATGCCATCCTCTACCACCATGGAGAACCTGCCAGAAAGAGAGAATGGGCCAGGGGCGCCTGGGTGGTGCAGTCGGGTTAAGCGTCTGGCTCTTGGTTTCCCCTCAGGTCATGGTCTCAGGGTCATGAGATCTAGCCCCACGTCGGGCTCTGCGCTCAGCGTGGAGTCCGCTTAAGACTCTCTCTCCCTCGGGGTGCTTGGGTGGCTCAGTCGGTTAAGCATCTGCCTTGGGCTCAGGTCATGATCCCAGAGTCCTGGGATCGAGTCCCGTGTCAGGCTCCCTGCTCAGAGGGGAGCCTGCTTCTCCCTCTGCCTCTGCCCCTCCCCCTGCTTGTGCTCTATCAAATAAATAAATGAAATCTTAAAAAAAAAAAAAAAAGACTCTCTCTCCCATTCCCTCTGCATGCTCACTCTCTCTTTAAAATAAATAAGTAAATCTTTAAAAAGAGAGAGAGAGAGACTGAGCCAATTACAAAAGCCTGGGCCTGGAGACTGGGAACGGAAATTGAAGGGATGGCAGGGGAACCCCACAGAGGACCCTCCCACTTTTACCTCTTGAGCCGACGATTTCCAAACAGGGACACCAATGAATCATCTAGTAGCAAATCTGTCTCCTAAAAGGAAAAGCAGAGACAAGGCTTAGAAACTACCAGAACAGACCAAGCCCTGCCTCCACCAGCTGCTTCCCACATTAGCCATGTCCCTCCATGCATCCAAGGCCTGGCACAGGGACCACCCTATAGGGTAGGGGTCGCAGGGATGCACTCACCTTCCCAAAGGCCCCAGTGGGGTCAGCCAAGAGCCTAACCTAAGGAGAAAGTAAAGGTCAAAGAAAAATCCCCCGCCTGGCCCCTGATCCCCTGCAGGACCCATACCTCACCTTGCCTCCCGAGTTGTGAGCTTGTCCCCACTCTTCAGTCACAAAGACATCATTAACACACAGACAGGCTACCACCTGGACCCCCTTGGCCTTCAGAGCCTCAGCCTGCTGCACAAATCCTGGCAGGTGGGTCTAGGAGGGGACACAAAGGGTCAGCAAAGGGATAACTGCCTCTGCTCTGCGGCGTCGTACCCTTTATCTCCAGGCCCTCCTCGCTTCCCTCTTGAATATCTTTGATCAATTAGAAATGTGTCAGCCACAGTTCCTTTTTGCCTTGGCGGCAAGAAGCTCGGATCCAAACTTGAGTGCTCTGTGGTCACCTGAACTTCCCTTGGACGTGACCATACTTTACCTGAGTATCTTCCACATCGCCAATCACCAGCAAAATCAATAACAGATGTTGGATTTAATTACAATACCCTTTCCTCCTACATTCCTGGTGCCACGACCTTTTCACGGCCTCCGCTTTTTTCTGAACGCTCTGAGAGGCTTTGTTTTTTGTGTTTTTTTTAAAGATTTTCTTTCTTTATTTGACAGAGGGAGAGTGAGAGAGCACAAACAGGGGGAGCAGCAGCAGAGGGAGAGGGAGAAGCGGGCTCCCCACCCAGCAGGGAGCCCGATGCACGACTGGATCCCAGGACCCCGGGATCATGACCTGAGCTGAAGGCAGACGCTTAACCGACTGAGCCACCCAGGCGCCCCGCTCTGATAGGCCTTGTAACTGTCACGGCCACTACATACTCTCGTTGCAAGCTGCCCTAGAACTTAGGAACAATACAGACATGGACACAAGATTCCAACCGCTGAGTCCCAGAAGGGCAGGTCTCACCTTGGAACAGCCAGGGGTAAAAGCCCCAGGGACTCCAAACAGCACCCCCTTCTTGCCCTTGAACAGCTCTGCCAGGTTCACTTTGTTCCCAGGCTGCCCTTCAAAAACCACCACGGAAGGGATGGCATCTCCCACCTAGAGGGAATGACTTGGTAAGGAGTTACTTGGTTACTTTGTATATGAGCAAAGACAACTAGAGACTGACTAGATAAGGAGATAAGCAGTTGGGGAATGAGGGAGTGGGTAGGAGAAGCCAAGAGAAAGGCGTTAAACCAGACCAGACAGTCGCTCCTACTAGAGCAGAGTTGACAGAGCTGTAATGTCCTAACCTGTCAAAGTTTCCAGAGGTCCCTCCCAGCCGCCCTCCCCTCTCCCTGCCACCGCCTGGTTCCTCCACATCCTCCGGGTTTCAAGGTGGCCCCTATTCCTTTTACCAGCCTGTGGGTGACAGAAGAAAATGGGAGAGGAGGCCTCTCTGGGTGTCGCAAGGGGTTGAGTAAACAAGGAGTCTGTTTCTTACCGGAAAGAAGTGGGATAAATGGGCAGGGAAGGAGTGCAGGGAATCTATTGGGGGGTGAGGAGGAGACCCTGACAACAGGGAGGGAGAGGACCCTGGCCAGGTCTGAGTGTCCAGCCCTCAGGAAGAGAAAAAGGGAGAGCAGCAGAAGATGGAAAAGTTGGGGGGAGGGTAATAAAATAAAAAGGCATCTCTCAAAGGGGATGGGTTAGCCTACCTGGGAGTGTGTGAGGGTTTCATGGAGCCAGAGGAGGTACATGAAAGGAGGGCAAATCAGGGATTGGGAGTAAGATTAAGTAGGAGGAGGAGGAGGTCTCAGAAGAGGGTGGAAGGGTAGGGAGGTGGTTCCCAGGTGCAGGGGATCGTTCCAGGTGAGGGGATGAAAGATTCAGCAGAAGAGTGGGAATGAGCACGGGAGAAATGGAACGGGAGAGACACAATAGGGGCTTTAAGAGAAAACCCTTGTTTCAGACGATGGGGTGAAGAATGATGCCCAGGAATATAACAAAAACGTACAAGAGAGTATGGGGGTAGGGGCATGTATGGAGGTTGAAAAGGGGCCCTGTGGCAAAGGAGATGGTTCCAGAAGGCGGAGGAGACCATGGTATTCAATCGCCTAAAATGGTGGAGACACATCATTGGGTGTCGCATAGTGGAAGTGAAAAGGGGACGAGGGGAAGGCTCGAGAGCCTTGGGGGCTGTCCAGGAAATGGGGTACGAGTCCCCCAAACTGGCGAGAATTGGGGGAGGGGAGCAGAACTGCGGGAGGAGCGTCCGGCGGAGCGCGCAGGGGTCCGGAGGGCAGGAAGGAGGGTGATTCTCCCCCAGAAAGCGGGACGGAGAGCACTGGGAAGACTGGCGGGAGGGGAGTTCAGGCCGGTCCCGGCCAGCGGTCACCTTGATTGGGGCCATGGCTGAGGCGGCGCTTCTGAAACCGTGGGCCCCGCCAAGCGTCCACTCTCTGCCTGGTCGCCGGCGTCCGCCTGCTCTCGACGGCGCCGATGCTGCAGACTCGACGGCAGCCGCCCGGACGAGAACCGAGCCTGCCCCACCACTCAGGACGCGTAGCTGAACGAACGGCATGCCCAAACCAGAGCGCACTGCCGCTCCGCCCTCGCGACGGAGCCCCGGCAGGAGGCGGTGCCCGGCGGGCTGTGCCCAGGCGGGTCCCCTCCGCGAGAGGCGGAGCCCCGGCCGTGCCCGCCCCCGGAGAGGCTCCTCCGCCGCGGAGGCCTAGAAGCGCGTGCAGGGGCGGAGCTTCTGGGGAGCTCGGCTTATTTGCATTTGGGGCTGGACGACCGGCGCAGTTACGAATGGGCGGGGCTTTCGGCAGCCGCGCAACTTATTTGCATAGAAGGATAGGGTGTAGCTGTTGTGGTGGGCCTAGTTTACGGATTCCTGCAGTGTTTCCTTTCCTTAACCAGAAGCGAGGGGCGGGAGACGATGGTGTCAGGCGCTGGTGTAGGAGAAAAACATGTTTATTTGGCATTCAACGAAGGCCACTGCATTGCGGCTGCTTTACATATGATGTACACAGTGCGTAATTCGTAGCGAATGGAAACCACTGGGCCTGCGCCGTAGTCATCTCCCATCGGGACGCTTCCGGTAGGAGCGCGTGATCCGACCAAGCTTTTCCAAATACCTCTACTTCGCTAGCACGAGAAGTTCCAGCATGTTCGCCACTTCCGCTCCTCCGAGCCATCCAATAGGACGGAGAATGGAGCGGCCCCGGAAGTGACGGGCTGAGTTTCTGCCTTCTTCCGGTTCCGGCTTGTTGAGAGCGCACTGAGGCGACATGAAGCTGCTAACGCACAACCTGCTGAGCTCGCATGTGCGGGGGGTGGGGCCCCGTGGCTTCCCACTGCGCCTCCAGGTATCGGTCCGGGGTAGTCTGGCGCCCGTCTCCTGGGCGGAGTAGGGGAGCCAGGCTCCTGTCCCTGACAAAACTCCTCCGCCCCGCAGGCCACCGAGGTCCGCATCAACCCCGTGGAGTTCAACCCCGACTTCGTGGCGCGTATGATACCCAAGGTGGAGTGGGCGGCGCTTCTGGAGGCGGCGGATACCGTGAGGACCCTCCCCCACGCCCGTGCTCACCCTGGGGTGGGGTGGTCTCACTGCAGGCCCTTGCCCCCAGGCCGGGGAACCTGGCCTCAAAGCAAGGGGCGGGATGCCCAGAGCTGATTTAGGCCTTTGCCCACAGCTGCATCTGGTCGAGGTGCCCAAAGGACCGATTGAAGGGTATGAGCACGATGAGAAATTCCTGAGGCAGATGCACCACGTGCTTCTGGAGGTGAGAACCGACCCCATCGCTTGCTTTCCTGGCCAGTCACAGCCGCAGGAGGCTGCCAGTGCTCAGCTCTGTTCCCTCCCCCTTCCCCACAGGTGGATGTGCTGGAGGGCACCTTGCAGTGCCCAGAGTCTGGACGTCTGTTCCCCATCAGTCGCGGGATCCCCAACATGCTGCTGAGTGATGAGGAAACCGAGACTTAATCGTGCCGGGCGCTAGTTTTTCAGTCTGTAACCAGGAATGTTTTTGTTGATGTATATCCTGTTTGCTAGGTCTGTCGTGTATCCCCAAACCTGGACCCAGTGACACACGAAACACAGTGTTCTTGAGCTCGATATATTTCTTTTTCTCATTAAAGGTTCAAAACCAAAAGCGGTTTCTCTTTGCAGCAAATATACATTAAAATAGAGTCTCTGTACAGCCAAAGGCTCTGGGCCCTGGCTTGCCCTATGTCCCTGCACCTCCCTGGCCAAACCCAAAAATAAATATAGTGTTATTGCTCTGCAGGGCATAGAGGCAGTGCTCTCCCTACCCCCCGTGGAGGCTGGGTGGGAGCTGATGGGGGGCCCTGGCCACCCCAGGGGTCCAGGGGCTGGAGCCTGCTTGGAGTTATTGCTTCAAGGGGGGGCAGTAATGCCCAATGCAAATGATGAGGAGAGGTGCGAAGGGGGCAGGGGCCTTTGCTCTCCAAATCCCCCTCTGCTCTGGAGAGGGGGTTGGATTAAGCAGCAGCAAAAGCATCACCCACTGGGAGCCTGTGGCCTCCACTCCCTTCCCTCCCTGAGATCAGGCTTCTGCCCCGCCCCCCCCACGTCCCCTGCAGCCCCCTATGGCTTCCGCAAGGCCCCCTACACTCTGGGGGGCACGTTATGGCTTGCAAGGGGCAGCACTGTGCCCAGAGCCTGGGCGCACACATTCCCAGCTTCTAAGACCCCCTGGGAGGGGGGAGGGGAGGGCGTAAGGCCTGCTCCCGGGGGCTGATGGTATTGCCCTGGCCCTGCCAGCAGGCTGTGGCACTGCCCAGACCCCAGCTCTGCCCCCTTGGGGCTGACCCCATACTGGGCGGGTCCTGCCAGCACCCCCACCCATGCCCACCCCTTGCCTCAGTCCATCATGGCCTCGAGCATCTCCAAGAACAGCTTGTGCATGGGCACCTTGCCCTCCAGCTTCACGCCATAGAAATGGGCCAGCACCTTGCCCGCTGTCTGGCGAAGGAGCGGTAGTGTGAGCAGCAGCCTGCCCGCCCGCCGCCGCTCAGCACCCCCTCCGGGGCCCGCCCGGCCTGCTTCATACTCAAGCAGGGCCTCGTGTAGAGCTTCTCGCAGCTGCTCCACAGCCTCGGCATCCTCAATGTGCACAGAGTCTGCAAGGAGAGGAGAGGACGCTGTGGACGCGGACCGTCTCCAGAAAGGGCAGAGCCCACACCTGCTTGAGCACTGTTGGATGCAGCCCGAGGAGGAGCCAGACATGGATCTGAGGGGCTGCCTGAGGCACCACTCACCGCTCCTGCGCATGAGCCAGGGCCCCCCCTTCCTCCCTCAACTGTGGCCACCTTTGGTCCCCTCCCCCCCCTTCCCACTAGATGGTTCACTTTCCATGTAAGGATAGCCCTAGCGCTCGAAATCCTACGTGCGGCTCCTAGGCCTGCCCTTGCCTTCTTTGGGACTTTCAACAAGTTACTGTTCTCCCCTAAGCTCCAATTTTCCTTGTCTGCCAGATGAGACCATGCCACCGTCGGGGTTACGAAGTGGAGGGCCTCACGGAGACTCCCGTCGATGCCTGCCCGGACTCACCTGAATTGGCAAGGGCCAGGGCCTTCAGCAGGACGTACTCCTCACGCTCCAGCCTCAGGGCCTGCAGTCGCCTCACCAGCTGCAGCAGCGCAGCCCCTAGCTCCCCCAAGCCGGCGGCGCGCGCCCCCTCTTCATCCAGGACCAGGTCCTCAGCGAAAGCCAGCTCATCCTGCAGTGGCAGTGAGCGCTGGGCCACACCCAACACCAAGACCTCCATCCACACGCTCTGCAGGACTGACATCTGGTCAGACAGTGACAGTGACGAGAAGCCTGGAGGATAGTGGGAAGCACACCTGGCTGAACGAGTTCACCAGAGCCAGGCCTGGCCCGCAGAGGGAAGCCCCGGATCACCTGGGCCCGTTACCTGGGATGCTCTTGGCCCAGCTGATGGTGACCACAATCTCTCGGTCAAAGAGGTCACAGAGGGTGGCCACAGCTGGGAGGTGTCCGTCAGGGCCCGCCGGGTCGGGCATGGCATATAGCTTCTCAGGCTCAACCACCAGCAGGTGGGACACCAGTGCGTTTACAGGAGCTGCTGGGACAGTTGGAAGAGGCACTCGAATTCATCACCTTGCAGGCCCCTTTGGGGTCAGGCATCTGCCCCAATTAGCTACCCCGCTCCCCATGGCCTTCCTAATAGCCACAGGCCAGCCAGGCTTGGACACTTCTCTCCAGGAGGGCCTCCCACTCTCTCCCAGGGAAAGCAAGTCCATGGGCAGGTTCTGAGTGTGAGAAAAGTCTTTCCCTGGTCCCAGGTGTACTACTCAGGGACTGATAGGGATATTTTCAAAAATACTCCTTCAGGGAAACATGAACAGATGAAGGGCAAACCGGGATCCCGATGCCCACGCTATCCATTGTGGGTGACTGACACCCAACAGGCCTCTTGTGTCCCAGCCCTATCCCAGCCCTAGGGCTCCCAGGACCCACAGCACGCTCACCGGGTTTCCGAGGGCCTCCGGCTACCGCCAGGGGTCCAGCAGGGAAGGAGCCCGGGAAGGGCAGCGGGTCCACCTCTGGCCGCCGCTTGTACTTCTGCCGCCCGCCTCGGACACGGTCCAGACGTACGCCTTGAATTTCAGGACAAGGCTGTGTCCGTGGGGCTGGGGGTGGCTTGCTCTGCAGAGCCCTCCCGCCCCGTCTCTTCCCGCAGAACGCCCCAAGCCTAGCCCACCCCTGCCCCACGCACCCGGGCCCCTGCCCAGCGCTCACCCTCCTTGAGCATGCCCACCCGCAGGCACTTGGTGAAACGACAGGCCTGGCAGGCCTTGCGTCTCCGCTTGGTGATCTCGCACTCGTTGGAGGCCGGACAGCTGTACTCGATGCTCCCTGCCAGGAAGACGCAGGGCTCCAGTGGCGGCCTCCCAGAGCCCGGAGGGGGCCCAGAAGACAGGAGAGCCCTGACGTGCCCTGGGCAAGTGCAGGTCTGGGGAGAGCGGGAGTGCCCTGAGTGGGGCAGGGAAGCCTGGGACAGTGAGGGGAATGGCCTCTGGGCTGGGGGCTCCTGACGAGGCCAGAGAAACCTGGGACCCAGGGAGTCAGGCTGATCTCTGCCCCAGGCCTCTTGTCAAGCCACGTCTCTGGGCTCTATCAACCCCATCTGTTCTCATCAAGGGCCACGGCGGCTTCTATGTTGCTACATCCAGTGGTCCATTCTTGTCCTCATCTTGCTTGGCCTAAAGGAGCATCTAATGCCATGGATCACGTCCTGCTCCCACAAACACTTGGACACTTGTCATCCTTTGCCCCTAGGACACCACCTCCTTCCAGCTCATTGGCCACTTTGTCATTTCTGTGCATCCCCACACACACCTTCCATCGAAGGACCGACCCCAGGGCTGCCCTTGGACCTCCCAACTCACTCCCACGGTGAGCTCACCAGTCGTGGGCCTTCACGTTTCTATCAGTAGAGCTTATGAACTCTAGATTCGTTTTCCACTGCCTCAGCATCTTGCAGGTCTAGAAGGCGTGGCAAACTTCACCTGTCCTAAATGGAGCCCACGACCTACCACTCCAAACCCTACAACCCCATTTGTCCAGTGGCTCAAGCAGAAATCCAGAAAACATCTTTGATTCTTCTCTTACACCCAAATCCA